TGGAGAGGTCTGGGGGGGGGGGGGTTGACTTTGATTTATAGGAGTTGTAGTTCACCTACATCCAGAGAGCAATATGAACCCAAACAACAATGGATCTGGACCAAATTTGGCATGCCTACCCAATATTGAATGTTTGCCGTTTATATGCTGTGCTCCGCCCTGAGTCCCCTTCGGGGTGAGAAGGGCAGAATAGAAATGTTTTAAATAAATAAATCTGCCCAAACTTGAATATTGGAGAGAACTGACCTTGACCTTTTGGAGTTGTAGGTATTGGGATTTACAGTTCACCTGCAATCAAAGAGCACTCTGAACCCCTACAATGATTGACTTGGGCCTAACTTGCCACACAGAACTCTCATCCCAAAAGCGGCTGAGGGGGGAAAGGAAAGGGCCTGAGTCTGTGAGGAATGGTGGGAGTTGGAGTCCAAAACACCTGGCGGGAGGGAGGGAGGGCCCAAGTTGGCCCAGGCCTATTCTAGTCGTTCTGCAGTCTGCTGTGGGACCTTGATTGTGGTCTTGGCAGAGACTTGTGAAGCAATCCTCCCAAAGTGAGGCTGAAAGACCTCTTCCTTTTCTCAATGTCCCATTGACTGTATTCCAGAGAGCTCCTGCCAAGGGCCACTCCACCTGGCTGGGCACTTGACCTCTCTCCTCCTGATAGCTCTTCCAGGAGCGCCACCTGGTGGGCTTGGCCAGAGGGCAGAGGGCCTCCTGGCGACCCTTGGCTGCCACCCAGTGGCCACACCGGAAAGCAGCACCCTCAAGGTTTCCCTCAAGGGACTTCTCCATTGAAGCAAGGTGGGCCGAGGCTCAGGAGCCAAGGAGGCACCTTCTTGGGGTTACCAAGTCCTCCTTGAAGCAGGGAATAGTTCTTCCTGGGAGGGGTTGCTGTGAGTTTTCCAGGCTGCCTGGCCACCAAGTCCTCCTTGAAGCATTCTCTCCTGACGTTTTGCCTTCATCTACGGCAGGCATCCTCAGTGAGGTTGTGAGGTCTGTTGGTAAACTCTCACAACCTGAGGAGTCTATAGCCATTACGATGAAGGCAAAAGTAAGGAGAGGAAAAAAGCTGCTGGAACAGGTCAGTACAGCCCAGAAAACTCACAGCAAAAACCAAGGGATTCCGGGTATGGAAAGCTGTCAGCAACACATCGTGGGCCAGCTTCCCTGGGACTCCAAGAGTAAAAGGAGCGAGGGGGGGGGGGGTGGCATTACCTTGACTTCTCCTCTTCTGTTTCTGTAAGGCCGCCTTCTTCCCTCCTCAACCAACGGTCTTTGGGCGCTGACTGTTGGAAGGGGCTTGTGTGCAATTTCCTGGCGGGGAAAAGAAAGGAAGGCATCCATTGCCACAGGAAGCCTCGCTCAGCACGACAGGCCCCTTCCACACAGCCAAATAACAGCCCATATTATCTGCTGTGAACAGAAATCTAGGGCAGTGTGTGTGGACACAGATCTCCCGGCTGGAAGCAGGCATTGTGGGATCTGCTGCTGCCTTGATGTTCTGGGTCATAGGGCCGTGTGGAAGGACCACAGAAACCAAATGCCCTGGCTTCAAAGGAAACCGGAATCCACACAGAGAGCATCGCCTTGACCTGGTTTGACCCCAATAAGGTTGCACTCAAGTGGTGCTCAGTCGCCCTTGTGACCCTGCACGGGGCCCCTTTGGCCCTTTCTGCCTCTCCAGAAGGGTGTGCCATGCCTTCAGGTTGGTGGAGCACCGGTAGTGCCATGGGTTAAGCCCTTATGCCGGCAGGACTGCTGACCGAAAGGTCGGCGGTTTGAATCTGGGGAACGGGGCGAGCTCCTGTCTGTCAGCTCCAACAGCTTCCCATGGAGGGACATGAGAGAAACCTCCCACAGATGGTAACACATCTGGGCAACATCCCTGGGCAATGTCCTTGCAGACAGCCCATTCTCTCACACCAGAAGCGAATTGCAGTTTCTCAAGTCGCTCCTGACACCAAACGATGCCAAGGCTGCCACGTAGAGCCTCCTCCTCCTCAGTCCCTCTGGAATGGGGTGTTCCTTGAGAAAGTGCCTGTAAAAATGACCCAAGTGCTGCTTGGAGGAAGGACTTGGCCGCCTTTCCAACTCAAGCCACTCCAGGCTGGTCAAACCAGAGTTTTTGGTCTGACAGGTTGTGCTGGCTGGAGGATTGACAGGACTCACGGGCCTGGTTCTGGCTTTCGTTCTCCTAGGGAGGCATTATAATAACCCCCTCCCTCCCCACTTTTGATTCGACACTGACACTTCAGGGTAGAGATGTGAGAAATCCTACCTATCTCCAGACCCTATCTATCCATATCAGGCACGGGCAAACTTGGGCCCTCCTCTTAGAAACACTTAGAAACAAATGTGGTCATTGCTAATAGTCAACATGGATTATTTATTTATTTACTTATTTATTTATTTAGCAATTTTGTATACGGGTCTTCTCCCCTCTATCGGGGGACTCGGGCCGGTTTCCAACAATAAAATCACAAAACAATAATTAAAAACATCATATAACACATTCAATTAAATCGTTATAACAGCAAAATGCAATCACATAATAACAATGGTCAGTCATCATAGTGCATTCGTTGTCCATCATTCATCCATCATTTATCAAAAACAAGTCATGCCAGACTCATCTGCTCTCTTTTTTCGATAGAGTTACAAGCTGGGTAGATGCGGGGAATGATGCCGTGGATGGAGTATGTCTGCATTTCAGGAAGTCCTTCTTTGACAAGGTCCCCCATGACCTTCCGGCAAGGAAACTAGTCCAAGGTGGGCGAGGCAAAACTACGGTGAGGTGGATCTGGAATTGGTTAAATGGGCAAACCCAGAGGGAGATTCTTCCTAAGGCTTCCTCCTCTTCATCCTGGAAAGAAGGGACGAGGGGAGGGCCATCCACAGGGTTCCGTCCTGGGCCCGGTCCTGCTCAAGATCAGTGGCTTAGATGAAGGGCTAGAAGGCAGGATCATCAAGTTTGCAGACAACAGACACCAAATTGGGAGGGAGAGCCAAGATTCCAGAGGACAGGAGCAGGATTCAAAATGATCTTGACAGATTAGAGAGATGATGGGCCAAAACTAACACAATGAAGTTCAACAGGGACAAATGCAAGAGACTCCACTTAGGCAGGAAAAATGAAATGCAAAGAGACAGAATGGGGGACAATGAGGGTCTGGAGAACAAGCCCTTAAGGAGCTGGGCATGTTTAGCCTGAAGAAGAGAAAGCTGAAAGGAGATATGATAGCCATGTATAAATAGGTGAGAGGAAGCCACAGGGAGGAGGAGGGAGCAAGCTTCCTTTCTGCTTCCCTGGAGACTAGGACGCAAGGGAACAATGGCTTCAAACTACAAGCGAGGAGATTCCACCTGAACATGAGGAAGAACTTCCTGACTGTGAGAGCTGTTCAGCAGTGGAACTCTCTGCCCCGGAGCGTGGTGGAGGCTCTTTCTTTGGAAGCTTTGAAGCAGAGGCTGGGTGGGCATCTGTCGGGGGTGATTTGAATGCAATATTCCTGCTTCTTGGCAGAATGGGGTTGGACTGGATGATGGCCCACCAGGTCTCTTCCAACTGTAGGACTCTGATTCTATGATTCTCGCAGAACGTGAGTGCAGGAGAATCTCCAAATTCTCCGGCATCAGTTCCATTAGCCTTTGCTATGCAGCCTTCGGGTGCATCTACACTGTAGAATGAATGCTGTTTGACACCCCTTTAACTGCTGTGGTTCACTGGTCCAGGATCCTAGGAGTTTTAGTTTGAAGAGCACCAGCAGTCTGGCAGAAAAAGCTAAAGACCTTCCTCTCCCAGGACTGCCTCCCAGTTAAGTTGCATTCATTCTGCAGTGTAGACTCACCTCAGGCCTCCTTTGCGGCTTGGAGGGAAGGAAGCACTCACAGAGCTCAAGGGCAAGCTATTGGGGATTGAGGGAGGCCACAGATAGAACCTAGTGGAGGAGGAGGGCTTCCTTCCTCTTGGACCACAGGAATGTATTTCTCTGCTTGGGCAGTGTTGGTCTTTCTTGCAAAACGAGGAAGACTTTGTGTGATTGGAATGGGTTAATTTCACAGTGTAGACCAGGCATGGGCCAACTTCAGCCCTCCCTCCAGGTGTTTTGGACTTCAACCCTACTGGCTGTTAGGAATGGTGGGAGCTGAAGTCCAAAACACCCAGTTGGCCCATGCCTGGTCTACCTGCTGTCTTGGTCGGTGCCCTCTTTCTTTCTTGGGGGGAGCTGCCTTGTAGACACCTTCTCCCTCTCCAAAAGAGAAAAGAGCATGATGTGTGTGGGGAGGGGGCCCTCTCCTCCCAGAAACACTCCCTGCCCTCCCTTTGATGTCGCCCCAGGGACGGGGTTTCCCCAGTCTGCCTCCCTTCCTCCTTTGCTTCTCACCTGTTCAGAGGAGAAGAAGGAAGCGGCGTTGTGCAGTTCTGGACAAACCCAGCTTGCCCTCCTTGTGCAACCGCTGGACGGTTGATGGGCCCTCCAAGGCACCCTCCTTCCTTCCTCCTTTCCCTCCTTCCTTCCTTCCTTTCCCTCCCTCCCTCCCTCCCTCACTCATGCCTTTGGGAGCCTTTAAAGCTTGCTTCGGAGCCTCCTCCGCTGGGCATTCCCTCCTGGCACCATGGTCTCCTCCTCCATCAGCCTTGCCCTCTTGGTGGGCCTCTCTGCTCTCTTGGTTGAGTTTCCCGGTACAACAGCCAAGGGTGAGTCCTGTGTGGGGCCTAGTGGGAAAGGGATGGGGTCCCTGGCCTGGCTTTTGGGAAGAGATCTCCAGGCCCAGGACTTGTCCTCCCATCCTTGCCCGGAGAGAAGGCATGGGACTCAACCTTCTCTCCATGTGCAGAAGGTGCCTTCACTCCAGGCCCCAAATTCAGGGGGAGGCTGCTGAGCAGACCCTCCTTGGCCGCAGATACCGTCCACTGGAGCACCTAGAACCCAAGAACTGGAAGGGACTCCCGAGGGTCATCTGGTCCCACCCCTCCATGTGAAACGCAGCATCTGGGAGGTGGAGATCTGACCTCTGCTTAAAGGTCCCAATCCCTTCCAAACGTGTACCTTCTGTTGCTCAGTAGTTCATGCAAACTAGGAGTCCATCCACATAATTAGTGCACATAATTAATCAGAATCTCTTGTGATTTTGGATCCATTGGTTCACGTCTTTGTGAACGGCTTCAAGAGCTGGACATGTTTAACCTGCAGAAGAGAAGGCTTCCTTCCTGCTGCCCCGGAGACTAGGACGCAATGGAGCCGTGGCTTCACACTGCAGGAATGGAAGGAGATTCCACCTGAACCTGAGGAAGAGCTTCCTAACTCCGAGAGCTGTTCAGCAGTGGAAGTCCCCCTCTCTCTCTCTGCCCCGGAGGGAGCGTAGTTGAAGGAGGCTCCTTCTTTGGAGGCTTTGAAGCAGAGGCTGGATGGCCATCTGTTGGGGGTGCTTTGAATGCTATTTTCCTGCTTCTTGGCAGAATGGGGTTGGACTGGGTGGTGGCCCACCAGGTCTCTTCCAGCACTAGGATTATACGATTCTATGGTTGTAATATTCCCCTTCTGGGGTCGCCTCAACTCCAGCCTCTGCTAGAAACTTCCAGAGAAGGAGATGCCACTGGAACCTGAGGAAGTAGCAGCAGAATCCCCTAGAGTTGGAAGGGATCCTTAAAGGTCATCCAGCCCAACCCCGTTGTGCCACACAATCAAAGCACACTATGGCCAAAACAACCCAAGGAATCCCCAAAATGTACCATAATTTGTTCTAGCTCTTTACCCATGGAGTGTGGCAGGATTTTGCAAAAGTTTTAGAGAGGGTGCACAAAAGGGTCTGGGGGCTACACTTTCTGCAGGGTGGCCTCCTTGGATCCATTTGACTATGCATCTACTTACCTTCATCCCCTCCCTCCCCAAATTCCACAGATGACCAAGAAGGTTTTAATGGGGACCAGCATCCAAAGCCAGTATCTTAGGAATCATAGAATCAAAGAGTTGGAAGAGACCTCATGGGCCATCCAGTCCAACCCCATTCTGTCAAGAAGCAGGAATATTGCATTCAAGAAGATAAGCCTTGGAATCTATGGGCACAGCTTAGGAGATGTGGGGATAACCCTTGGCTTGAGTCAACGATTAAAATGAATTGCAAGTGAGCTGTATCCCTGGCTACCACCCCCCCCCCAACCCGCTTCCCAATTTCCCTCCTGCAGGTGACTATTTCAACCAGCACATTTTCCTGCTATGGGGTGATGGAAGTTGTGGTTTTACAGGTTCTTGGCCTTTCTGGACAAACTAGAAATCCCAGCATTCCATAGCATGGAGACATCACAGTTAAAGTGGCATCAAACTGTTTTCATTCTACAGGGGGCAAATTCTGGGAGTCGAGGTCCAAAACACCTGGAGGGCCAAAGTTTGACCATGCATGTTGTAGATGCACCCTGGGCCTGTCCGGGCCAAACTGGGACTGACCTCCCCCTGTCTCTTTCCAGAGCGGCCTGGCTACTGCCTGAACTTGCCAGTCCCCTTGGCAGACCCTTTGGACAAGAGCGGATGCAGAAAGTGCAACGTGGACGCTGACTGTCCCCCGAGGGAGAAGTGTTGCGGTTTTGATTGCGGCAACAAGTGCCAGGTGCCAGAGCCAAGTAAGGCCGCCTTTGGGTCATTTTACGGGGGGAGTAATGAGGATGGGGGGGGGGTCTATGTGTAGCCTTTTCTGTAACCTTAATGAAGGGGCCCAGATGTCTTCCAGCAAGATGGGCCTTTGGGGGGGGGGCAGGGGGGCTAATAGTGATGTGTGCTGCAGAACTGACCAGGCCCCACTGCAGGGGGTTAAAACCCCCCAACCGGGATGGTCATCTGGAGACAAAAGGTCCAAAAGACCTCTGGAGAGGTCCCAAGAGTTTATTTATTTATTGACAGCTTTTCTATTCCGCCCTTCTCCTCCCCCCGCAGGGGACTCAGGGCGGATTACAGTGTACACGTATATGGCAAACATTCAATGCCAATTTGACATACAACATATACAGACATACACAGAGGCTATTTCACTTTTTCTGGCCGCCAGGGGAGCCTTCGCTTTCGTCGTCCATCTGCGACACTGATGAAGCACTTCCGCATTCCCCGCATGCTTCCCCGCAGGAATGCTTTGCTGGAGTCTTTTTTTTATGGCCTCATAAATCAGTTAATTTAGCCTCCCCACACTTTAAGGTGGTACCTAATTTTCCTACTTGACAGGTGCAACTGTCTTTCGGGTTGCAAAGGTCGACAACAGGCTACACATAATTGGTTGGAAACCCACTCCAACCTGGGCTGGCTTTGAATTCATGACCTTTTGGTCAGAGTGATCTTAATGCAGCGGACACTCAGCCAGCTGCGCCACAATCCCGGTGCTGGAGGTGAGGGTCAAACTGGACCTCAGAGCAAACGAGAGGTTAAAAAGTGGTCTGGGCACAAATGTGGCCTTTGGAAAGGAGGTGCCAGTTCCCCATATGGTCCCCATAAGATGACCAGCAGTGACCATAGGAGGGGTTTAGACCCAGAGGAGCCAAGGCTGGCAACCTGCACCCACAGGTAAACCCCCGCCCCCCCCGTAGTGTGTGGTCTGAGATGATTGCAAGGACTGTCACTCCCAATAGAAGCCCGCCTGGCCTCTATATAATGTATTACATAATATAACACTTCCTTTATATTCCTCTGTTCTCCCTGAGTGGACCCAAAACAGATTAAAGAGACACAGGCAAACATTCAACGCCTTGTTACAATGTAATACAATGAGACACAAACAAAGGCAAAGGCTTCTCCTTTCATTTCCGGCTCTGAAGGCGGTGCTCATCTCCAGCTCTGGGGCAGATGCTCATCTCCACTTCCAAGCCAAGGAGCCTGCGTTGTCCATAGACACCTCCTGGTCGTGTGGCTGGCATGACTGCATGGAGCGTCCTTTTGCAGGGGGGTTGCAGGGGGGGCCTTCCTGGCTCATCCTGCACCTCTTGTGTGTGTGTATGGGGGGGGGGCACGGAGGCTGCTCTCCTGACGCTGCTTGCTCCCTTCTCCCAGACCGCTGCCGCCTCCCCCCCGTCACGGGACCCTGCAAAGCCCGCATGCCACACTTCTACTACAACTGGGGCAACAAGAGGTGCGAGGAGTTCATCTACGGGGGATGCCGTGGCAACCTGAACAGGTTTAAGACCAAGGAGGAGTGCCAGCGGGCCTGCAAGGGCAAAGGTGAGCGGGGGGGGGGGCAGGCTTCACCCCACCCGCAGGCAGCACAGGCCCAGCTGCTCACACGTGCATCATCGTCTTGGAAGGGGACCCTAAAGGCCACCCAGTCCAACCCGTTTCTGCCAGGCAGGAATGCAGAATTGAAGCCCTCCTGACAGATAGCCACCCAGCTTCTGCTTAAAACCTCCAGAGAAGGAGAGTCCACCAAGCTCCCAGGCAGCAAGTGGATCTCAAGGGCCCCTCTATATGCATTTCATGCTACAGCGCAGGGGTGGGGGTTGTGGGGCCCTCCGGGTGTTGCTGAATGGCCACTGCTAGTCGCCCTCTAAGCACTGACCCTTCCACATCCATCCCACTGGCTCAAGGGTCTCTGGGTCAGGCTTGCCCAATGGTTTCCCCTGAGGCTGAGAGAGTGTGACTTGCCCAGGGCCGCCCTGCGGGTTTCCAAGGCTGAGTAGCAACGTGAACCCTGGTTCCAGAGCTGGGGAGCAGCAGAAGGGGGCATTCCCCACCCGATGGGCCAGTTGCCCTCTCTGGCTCCATTTGCAGCCAGGCAGAGGAGAAAGAGCTGCTGATGGGGGAATGGTGTCCCTCTCCTCCCCGCATGCCGCCCTGCCTGGAGCCCCCCAGGTTCCCCTCAGCGTCTTGCCTTGGCCGCTCTCTTCTGTGGGCTGCTGCCCTCGGCTGGTAGGGAAGCCACCCCGGGCAAAGCAGCCCAATCCTCCTGCCTCTCTCTCCATTGTCCAGACAAGACGCTAGGGGTCTCAGGACACAACTTAGAGCAGAAGCTGGCCACAAAATTGTGCCAGAGGACCCATGAATCTAGAACCTCCCAGGTGGGAGGCTGACCATAGAACTGCGCTGGACGACCCTGAGTGTGCTAAACGGGTGCCCCCTCGAAGAAGAATCCCTCAGTCCTCCAGCATGAAGTTGCCCATGGCTTTGAACTGGAAGGCTTACAGGCTCCTAGAGCGGACATTTCAGTCCAACCCATCAATCATCAAACCCACAAAGGTCAAGGCTGTAAATGTGGAGAGACGGCCGAATCCGTCCCACGATGCCCATGTGGCGCTGCTTCTCCATCGTGGAGCTGAGAGGCACAGGAATGGGCTCGGCTTCCACCCTGAACCCTGCGCACAAAAACACGGGGAACGGAATGGCAAGGAAACGCAGGCGGCCTTTATTCAGAGAAGACCTCTAGTGTGGACCCACCAGAGGCGCTTCCCCTGGGTCCAGGTGGCCCACACTTCTCTCAGGTGTTCTCCCAAGGCCTCGTCATTATCCTGCAAAAGGGAAGGAGACAACTGCATGAGCACGCCTTGGGTGCCATCCTATGCTTTGTAGTCTTCTGATCATGGGAGTTGTAGTTTTACAAGAGCTTCAACCTGCTCTGCCATAGAGGGCTGGTGCCACATCATGCGTCCTCTTCCAGCACATGCGTGGGACTCATGACTCTGGAGAAGAAGGTTGGAATCCCTGCTCAGCCATGAAAACCCACTGGGGAATCTTGGGCAAGTCACACTTTCTCAGCCTCAGAGGGATAGCCACTCATGGATGTAAACCGGGCAGGGTCAAACTTCAGCCCTTAGGGTGTTTTGGACTCCGACTCCCACCATTCCTTCAGGCCCTTAAGTGCTGAGGGGGGAAAGTAAGGGGCCTGAGGCCAGGAATTGTGGGAGTTGAAGTCCAAAACGCCCAAAGGGAGAGCGGAAGTTTGCCCATGCCTGACTTAGGGTCATCACAGACTGGCAACAGGTCACAGAATCCCCCGACACCATCATTTTAGAAAGCGAAGCATGGGGTCTGGCCTTCTGGGGGTCTTTCGGACTGTGTGCAGCAGGTGCTCCTTTGGTTCTCGGGCCTGCTTCCCAGCAGGGATCGGGGCCAGGTTCTCTGTGGGAAAATGTTTCAGCCCTTCCATGCTCAGAATCTTTCCCATGAAATGGTTGACAGAACCTTTTGCTTGGCATTTGCTCAACACAGCTGACAAGGACAAACCCACAAGGCTAGGTTGTGTTGTGTATAGAACTGTGAACCCATTGAGACAGTATATTATGCCAGTGGTTCCCAACCTTTTTTTTTTTTTTTACCAGCGCCCACTTGACCAGGGCCAACTTGGATCAGGGCCTACTATGACCAGGGCCCACTTGACCAGGGCCAACTTGGATCAGGGCCTACTATGACCAGGGCCCACTTGACCAGGGCCAACTTGGATCAGGGCCTACTATGACCAGGGCCCACTTGACCAGGGCGGGGCAGGTCAGTTCTGCAGAAGTAAAATAAAATAAAATATAGAAGAAAAGAAGTTTGTGGACCGGGTTCTGGTTCTGGCGGCCCAGTGCTGGTCTGCGGCCCACAAGTTGACTTCTGACTTGCCAGATAGTATTGACTTGATGTAGTCTATGGACGCTCTGTCTGATTTAATTATTAATAGAAGTTGGGGCAATCGCATATGCCTAATAGTTGTCAGTCAAATTCCATGGTTAATTAGCCTTCTGCGCATGCTTGTAAGATGCTATAACTGGAAGTCCACCCGAGAGGGGCGTGGCAGTTCCTTTCTCAGCTGACACGGTCACCCTCTTCTGCAAAGAGTAAAGAGCTGAACTCCAAACCTGCCGCCCGTCCCTCCCTTCGGCTGCACCCAACATGACCTTGGCAGGCAGAGTTCCCCAACACCTGCTTGGCCCCCCAACACCTGCGTGAAGGAGGCATCCCGGGACTTACCGTAGCGGCCACAGGCGTCCACGCAGGCTTTGCGGCTGATGAAGTTGTTCTCGTTGGCCCAGCATCCCCCCCAAGTGAAGGGCAGGCACTCCTTCTTCTTGAAGTGGAAGTACCAGCGCTGCTGGAGGATGAAGCAGATGCCCGGGTCGGGAGGGAGGATGCATATCCCTGGGGAGGCAAGGCAAGGCGGGGGGGGGGGGGGGGGGCGGGGGGGCAGGTGAAGGCGGCACTCGGGAGGAAGGCCACACCGCAGCACACCACCCCATGATTGAGATCCCCGGGATTGGTATCGCCTGAGCAAACTACAACAACCCAGGATGAAACACATCATTAGGTTGTAACAGGGAATGCCGTGGGTGTGTGTGTGCGTGTACACAGCAGAATTATAGCACTGCTGCAGCTCCATCTTACGAGATCTAGGGATTTGTAGTTGGCTCTGAAACGGCAAATTCCGGGGTCTCATAGCACTGAGATCTAGTCACCATGGTGTCAAAGAGCATTCATGCTCCCAAAGGGGCATCTACACGGCAGAATGAATGCGGTTTGACAGCATTTTAACTGTGGCAGCTCATTGCAGTGGCAACCTGGAAACTTTAGTTTTGTAAGGTCATTAGTGTTTTAATCCAGGCAGGGCAAACTTGGGCCCTCCCGCCTGGTGTTTTGGACTTCAACTCCCACCATTCCTGGCCTCAAGACACTTCCTTTTCCTTTTCCTTTTCCACTTCAGTGGCTGAGGGGGGAAAGGAAAGAGCCTGAGGCCAGGAATGGTGGGAGTTGAAGTCCAAAACGTGGGCTGAAGGTTGCTCCTGCTTGGTTAAAAGCCATGCATGGACTCCCCACCCAAGGGCATGCTCCCCTGCTCCCCCCCCCATGGCACTCACCCAGATCTCCTGACGCCGTGGGGAGGGTCTCCCAGAGCAGGAGGAACCCCAGGAAGAGAACGGGGATCCCGACGCCCATCTCTGAGCAAGGGCCGAAACCCAAGGTCAACCTGTGCAGCAACATGGGTCAAGAAGTCCTTCTTGAAGGAAACGAGTCCTCCTTGCACACAGCAGGCAATGGTGGGAAGCAAATCCCTGCCCTGGAATGGAAAGGTGGCTCACCTCCGCCTGTGTGTGTGGAAAGAACATGCCGTTCACACATCCCACCTGGTTGCCTTTGAATCCCAGGTGCTGGCCCACCCACACCATTCGCTCCGAATGGGAGATGAAGAACCAGGCGTTGCAGAGAAACCCACCCACGCTCCCAAGTGTGGCCCTGGCCCAGATTGAGGAGCCCTTGGGGGCCTGTCCAGCCAGTTAGCCAGGAAGAGACCACGCGGAACTGTCTACGGCCACAGAGCGCCCTACCTGCAAATGCACGGCCCCACTGGCACTGGGGGAGCCATAGCGAGGCACAGAGGGTCTGCGCATCATGGAAGCACATGATGATGATGCACACAGGCACGGACAGAGCTAGAGCTGAAGCCTGCAGCTTTAAATGGGTCTCCTCGGAAGGAGGGTACCCCCGGACCGCACCAAAGAGGATCCGCTACCTTCTCGGCGAGACTTTCAGGGAGCCAATCCAAGCGACCATTAAAAGGTTAAAAGAAATGATTTTCCCGTCCAAGAAGTTGAAGAAGTGGCGACCGAGGCTTTTATTAGCGATTCAGCTGAAAAGGATGCGATTGTAGTGATGGCTATACAGAGTTTTGGAGGCATCTTTATACATACAGTCAGTCCCGCAATCTTGAATCTCCCGCCCGCCCGCCTTCCCTCACCCGGCTTGGCTGTGATTGGTGGATGGCTGAACAGCTGGGAGAGGCTTGCCGTCCGTCCCTGCACTCAGCCTATCACAGAGTTCCCTCGCTTCGGGGAGCCAGCGAATCAGGGACGAGGAGGCGGGACAGAAAAGTGTAACAATGAAGGAGGAAGGATTATGATTGCTGGGTGGCATTTGCAGGCGATTTTCCTGTTTCTTGGCAGAATAGGGTTGGACTGGATGGCCCACCAGTAACCTCAGCACATTACAGAACAGAATCCACTTAAAATCTGGTTTCTGCCTCCTGCTGAATTCTGGGGTTTGTAGTTCAGGGAGGAGCCTTTACCAGCCTCCCAAAAGTACAAACCCCAGAATTCTGCAGGAGGCAGGAACCCGATTTTAAGTGGGTTCTGTTCTCTAGTGTGATGAAGCCACAGGTCCCTTCCAACGCCAGGATTCTGTGATTCCAATGGGAGCGTGGACCACCGTGGCCAAGCCTGGCTTCCCAAGGAATGGGTGCACAAGTAGTGTTAAGTGTGCAAAAGCCCCCCGGGCCACCCCACCGCTGCAACCTGAGTCTCCAGGCTCAGCGATGAGTCCAGGATCACACCCAAGCTGCGACCCTGCGCCTTCGGGGGAGTGTCGCCCCTTCCTTCCTTCCTTCCTTCCCCCCAGCACAGGCTGCAACCCCATGCCCTGTTCGGCCTTGCGACTGACCAGGAGGACCGCTGCCTTGCCTGGATTCAGCTTCAATCCAGACCGTCACAGCGGCAGGCACCTGTTCCAGACCTGACCGGCCGCCTTCCTTGGCAGGCAGAGTTCCCCAGCACCTGCTTGGCCCCCCAACACCTGCGTGAAGGAGGCCCGTCCCGGGACTCACCGTAGTGTCCGCAGACGTCCATGCAGGCCTTCTTCTTCTTGAAGTGGAAGTACCAGCGCTCCTGGAGGTTGAAGCAGACGCCCGGGTCGGACGGGAGCATGCACACCCCTGAGGAGGAAAGGCGGGGAGGGGGCAGGCACGGGGGGCAGCGTTACGGCAGGAAGGAAGGAAGGAAGGAAGGAAGGAAGGAAGGAAGGAAGGAAGGCCACCCCACCCCACCCCAGGCCACGTTTCAGATCCAGGATGAAATACATCATCGGGTTGGAAGGAGGAATGCTGTGTGTGAGTGTGAGTGTGCAAGGCTGTAGCCAAGGGGGAGGGGGTGATATCGAGCTGCTCTTTGTAGGGTCCCCTCAAGAGAGAGGGGCCCGAGGACCGCGCCAGAAAGGGCCCTGGATACCTTGGTGAGGCCAGGAAAATTGCCAATCCACGAATAAAATATTAAAAATAATAATGCCCCATCAAGGTGGAAGAAGTTTCCAGCAACCGAAATGTTTTATTAGCGATTCAGCTGATCGGATGCATTGCAGGGAATTGAAGCCCTCCTGACAGATAGCCACCCAGCTTCTGCTTAAAACCTCTGTTTTATTAGCGATTCAGCTGATCGGATGCATTGCAGGGAATTGAAGCCCTCCTGACAGATAGCCACCCAGCTTCTGCTTAAAACCTCCAGAGAAGGAGAGTCCACCAAGCTCCCAGGCAGCAAGTGGATCTCAAGGGCCCCTCTATATGCATTTCATGCTACAGCGCAGGGGTGGGGGTTGTGGGGCCCTCCGGGTGTTGCTGAATGGCCACTGCTAGTCGCCCTCTAAGCACTGACCCTTCCACATCCATCCCACTGGCTCAAGGGTCTCTGGGTCAGGCTTGCCCAATGGTTTCCCCTGAGGCTGAGAGAGTGTGACTTGCCCAGGGCCACCCTGCGGGTTTCCAAGGCTGAGTAGCAACGTGAACCCTGGTTCCAGAGCTGTTGTCCAGCACTCAAACCACTGCACCAAGCGGGCTCTCCTTCTTGGATGTGAGAATGAAATAAGCCAAGGTTGATCCTGTCTTTTGCAAAGACAATCTCACTTACGAGTTGGGGGGAAGGAAAGGGGACCGGGAAAGGGGACCGGGAGGACACGGGGGGAGTCCTGCAAATGGCTGGGAAACCATGTCCAGAGATACCTTCCAGAGGTCTTTGCAAAGGAAGGAACGTGCTGCTTGGGTTGGGTGTCCTTCTATGGAGGAGGCAAGATGTGCATCTGTCGGGAGGGCTTGAGTGGTGCCTTCCTTCCTGGAAGAAGGAGGGGGGTCGGACTGGGTGGCCTCTGGGGTCTCTTCCCATCAGAGGATCCTACGAAATGCCGCCTGATGTCTCCCAGGATCTGAGATGGTGCCTTCTTTCTCTTCCAGGGCCAGAGTAGAGCGGAAGAGAAGCCACGGTCCCAATGAACGGAGAACCCAAGAAGCAGCCCTCCTCCCGCTCTGCCTGTGGCCCTGTTTCTTGCCTTTGCTCACCTTCCTTCCTT